ATCTACCTTTACCTTTCCAACATGCCAAGTTGTTTATGTTACATAAATATCCTTTGAACTGGTCTAGTTTAAGGTTTTTCAGCACGCCAGGGTGTTTATTACATAAACAGTGTAGGCCAGACTGTAGAGAAGCTTTGTACCGTGGAGACTGTGTTTTTTTGTTGCAGAGTCAAGGATGCTTCTCTTTTATGAGGGGTAGGTTCAGGGAGGCTGTGGTACTTGTCTGAACTATCCCTGTGATAACAGCCTCTAGAATGAACGAGTCAGTGTGTCTGCACGAACGCACACACACACACACACACATTTATCTTTACAGTGGGCGGCTGGCTCTACAGCAGCGTAAACACAGTGCAGTACAGAGGTGTGTGTGTGTGAGGAGTGAGGACACACAGTGTTACATGCGTGAGGAGGACATTGTTTTTCTATACAACAGAACTCGCTCAGCTGCTTGCTTACTGACTCTGTCATGCTAATGTACTTATGTGGGTCACAGGGTTCGTTTCCTACCACGTGTGTCCTCTATCATGCAGACATCTCACGGCCCATTATTCACCCATAATGATGTTATCCTGATAACCTCAGAATAACTACCGCACTCTTGACTTCCCCTGTATCTCTAATTTGTCATTTTCCTTGACTTCATGTTCCGTTTCTACGGCAACTAATTGTTCTACTTATGTCAAGCTCGGACGCCTTCTGACCTTTTTGAGCGCCACACATTGACCTGTTCACGGGTAATGCAGATTTTGAAGTCAGACCTAATAAAACTTCTTGAAAAATAATAGGAGGTCCGCTTTAAATGACTGCTGTGATTATCAGATGGAGAATTTCCGGATTTTTATAAATATTTGGCGATCTTATCTGGTCTTAGCTCTCGCTGATTTAGCATTCCTTCGGCAGCTGAGAGAGGGAGGATATTTGAACCATTCGGGGAATGCTACTAGTGTGACATTGGAATTACTTTCAAAAAAGCACGAGGCGAATTTTGAGCCCAAACATCTGTCCTGTGGTTTGGTCCTCACACAGTTTAGTGGGCACTTTGGGCTTCGTCTGGTTTCTAGCTCTCACAATTATTTTCCTTTGTCATTGCCTTAATATCATTCCCAAGCAGCATGTCAATGTGAGAAGCAGGAAAGAGGACAGCGAGCATTAGTAAGAGATACAAATGTTTGCTCGTACATTTTGGTGGGAAGAAACAGTCGTTGTGTACTCGCACTCATCTGTATCCTCATGGGAAATAAACAGCAACTAAATCAGTTGTTAGCTTTTTGTGTTATCTTTAAAGATGAAAGGACACGGAAAACAATGAAAGGGCTGCCCTGGGGTTTCTGTAGGAAGAGAAAAAGTGCAACAACTGGAGCGAAGAATGAGACCTTTGATCTGTGTAGTCAGTCCCATTGAATTTGTCTGAGATTGTACCCAGAAATAGAGAAGACAGGGGTCGAAAAAAAAAGAAAAACCATAGTCCCAATTCACAAAAGTAGCCTGCTCAGAACTACAGAACTTTTATGAACATTATTTCAGAGATATTGTGGTGGAATTTTCCCCAAAAATGTAAAACTTTTTCTTCTTTAAGGATTAAGTAGAACATGTTTAGGATGTATAATGCACATTGCAATACCCAAAATGTGCAATAGTTTAGCAATATTCTTTGCCTTCTGACTTTTATTTTCAGTTTGACATGAAGGGTGATACAAGGTCCCGCACGCAGGAATTAACAGTTTGAACCTGCCTCAACAACAATGTTATTGCAGTGGTGCATCATCATTAAAACCCTCATTCATACAGACAGAAATTTCGACCTCAGAATAGTTTAACCTACGAAAATGTTAAACCAAACACAAGGACATAATTGGCAAGTCCTCGTGGTCAACAACACACACCGCCTAACCATAACATCCTAATTTGTTTTCTGACGGGAGAATTTTGTTGCATGTCATTCCTTTTTTCTCTCAAGCTTACAAATACATAACACATTATTATTATTGCGTACAAACTGTAGACTAACATCTCTACCGAAAGAGCCTGCTTTGGGAATGTCTGGTTGATTGTGTTTAGTTAAGGGCTACTGGCAGTCGTTGGTGCACAGTCACTGCAGCCTGGCCTGTCTGCTCTGGTTTCATAAGAGAGAGAGGGAGAGTGAATGACCTATATACTTCTCTGAGGGAGGGGAAGTCACCTTGTTGGTGGACCAGCAGGCAGGCAGGCTGGCACGCAGCATTTTAATGTGCTGCACTATTAAAGTGTAGACCACTGACTGCATATTAGAGGCAGATACTTGTTTAGAGGGACCACTCAAGAGCTGCTGGGTTTTTTCCTGGACATGAACTTTCTAGAGGCTGTTTTTCTTACTGGTGGCTTTCTTGTTAACACCGGTTTGTAATAGTGTGAAAAGGCCAATATATAGGGACTGAATATTCAGCAGATTAATATGCTGAAAAACACATCTCGACGAGGATTGGATTTGTGCATGCACACATACACACACTGACATTAGATGAAACCATGGGGCCCGGTGCCAGAAAGATCTAGTCAGACAAACACCTCACCAGAGACTCCTCTAAGCGTCCTAACAAATTGAATGTGTGTGTAGATGGACGAGAGGGAATTAGATCAGTGGTCCTGATTGTATCTGAGTGTGCTGTTGCTGTACCCCTTCCCAGCTAGTCCCCTGGAGGAAATGTGTGTGCATGAGAGAGTGTGCGAGGTAGAGAGACAGAGGGAGGAGGAGAGAGAGTGTGCTTGGCAGCTGGTTTGATGAAGGATGTAAGGAGAATGTTAACCAGACAATCACCTTGCCTGTTATTGATTGAGATGGGAGAGAGGTAATTAGAACAGAAAAGAAGGGGAAGCTGAGGCCACTTTTAATGTTTTGATACAAGGTGTTCTTTGTACCCATCTGTGTGTGTGTGTGTGTGTGTGTGTGTGTGTGTGTGTGTGTGTGTGTGTTTGTGTGTGTGTGTGTGTGTGTGTGTGTGTGTGTGTGTGTGTGTGTGTGTGTGTGTGTGTGTGTGTGTGTGTGTGTGTGTGTGTGTGTGTGTGTGTGTGTGTGTGTGTGTGTGTGTGTGTGTGTGTGTGTGTGTCTATGTTTGAGAGTG